TAAACAGGAGCTAACAGTCATAAACAGGGGCTAACAGTCATAAACAGGGGCTAACAGTTATCAACAGGGGCTAACAGTCATTAACAGGGGCTAACAGTCATTAACAGGAGCTGACAGTTATCAACAGGAGCTGACAGTCATCAACAGGAGCTAACGGTCATCAACAGGAGCTAACGGTCATTAACAGGGGCTAACAGTCATTAACAGGGGGTTAACAGTCATCAACAGGGGCTAACAGTCATTAACAGGAGCTGACAGTTATCAACAGGAGCTGACGGTCATCAACAGGAGCTAACGGTCATCAACAGGAGCTAACAGTCATCAACAGGAGCTAACAGTCATCAACAGGAGCTAACAGTCATTAACAGGGGCTAACAGTCATTAACAGGGGCTAACAGTCATTAACAGGGGCTAACAGTCATTAACAGGGGCTAACAGTCATCAACAGGACTCGGATTGCTACAGTTGAGTGACTGGGGTACAAACGTCAAACCTGGGGTACAGTCTAAATGTTTGTAATGTCTGCTTTGACAGGTCCTCAGTCTCTCATAAAGGAGGAGTTCATGCAGGAGTGTCTGCAGATCGACCTGCCCCCCCACACCGACCCCTATGGCCACCCACGGCCTGTCGGCATGTATCCCAGCATGCCTTTGTCTCCCCCAGGTCAGTGTGCTGCTCCTTGCTGTCAGCGTGCGAGACGCCGTGACGCTGTTGTAACACAGTCGTGTTTCCTGCAGGCAGCAGCTCCATGGTGCCTGCAGCTCTGACTGCCGGGGGGGTCGGCGGCGGTTTGGACGGACCCGGCCTCCTTCAGATCGCTCCGCCTCCTAACCACGGCGGGCAGGCTTCACCGCCTCACTCAAATCCACCTCACACTCCCCAGCCCCCCCATCCCTCCACCCCAGCCTCCCCACATCAGCAGAGCCCAGAGTACAGTGGCCCCCACAAACCTGGTACTGTACGCTAAGTACTATGTACTACCTGTGCTTAGTACTACGTCTGTAGTATAATGAATGTCCTGTGTGTCTCCACAGCCAACTGGGCAGGTAACAGCCCTGTCCCCTACACCTCTGCAGGACCGCAGCATAGTGGGCGGGGCAACCAGCCACATCCACCATTGCATCATCATCCTCATCATCATCAACAACACCACGCCCCCAACACTCACTTCTGTAAGACAGCATGTTAAATTTTACTGCTCTATTCAGTACCATAGTACTGCGAGTACTGCAGTATTGCTGAGTACTGGGTCTGTGTTTGTTTCTGCAGGGTCACAGCATCACAGCACTGCTCCGTATCCACAGCCAGTATCCAACCACCCAGGTACCACACCTGTCCACAAACCCCGCCCCCTGACTCTGACCTCACTTTATTAATAAAGATTCAAAACATAGTGGCCGACATCCCCAAAATACAAAATGTCCCGTCTTAGTGAAGCAGGTCCAAAAAATGTTAATGTAAAAATAAAGTGCCCTGATACTCACACCTATCTGAGTTCCCTGAAACAAAGATGTCCTCACTTACAGAAGTAAAAGCTCAGGTAATAAAAGGTTGAGAAGCACTTTTGTCTCCAGTTTTTTAGGATGTTTGGGGAGCAGGTCCGCCATGTCCTGATCTGTGTCTCGATCCTCAGGTCCAGAGTTCTGGTGCTCCATCTCCTACTTTGAGCTGGACGTTCAGGTTGGTGAGATGTTTAAGGTCCAGTCCAGCTGTCCCCTGGTGACCGTGGACGGGTACGTGGATCCTTCGGGAGGAGATCGATTCTGTTTGGGACAGCTCAGCAATGTCCACCGTACGGCCGCCAGCCACCGCGCCAGGTGAGCGGTCGTTTAGTGGGTGGCACCATGAGAGTTATTGTGGTGTTAGTATTTAATGTTGCTGATGTTGTTGCCCTGCAGGCTCCACATCGGCCGGGGGGTTCAGCTGGAGTGTCGGGGGGAGGGTGACATCTGGATGCGTTGCCTTAGCGACCACTCTGTGTTTGTCCAGAGTTTCTATCTGGACCGGGAGGCGGGCAGAGCACCAGGCGATGGCGTTCATAAGATCTACCCTGGAGCATACATCAAGGTGAGTGCGTGGAGCGGTAGACGCCGCGAATGACCATCTGAGCCCAGACGGGCTCGGTTTCACTCAGGTCCATCAGATATCGTCAGAACCCCTGCGAGGGTTCCAGTAACCAATCAGATTCGGGCTACATCACTACTGTTACACGTTTACCTTTGTCCACCATTTCAGTTTTCTGGTCCGTCTGTTTTACGGTTTTCTGGACGTAAAACGGACGGACAAAGACATGTTTGGCGATCGCAGGAAGTAAAGCAGCGAGTCTATCTTCCTTTTACAGATTTGATCTTCCTGATTTGTAAAGAGATCCGAGTTTCTCTGAGAGGTTTGTTTGGGCCGTGTTTCTCGATACTTGGACAGCTTTGTTGTAACTTCTTCAGCAGCTTGTTGACAGTTTTATAGGACATAGATTTGTGCATGATTGGACATCAAAGTGTGAATTGGCTCCTGTTTCTATCAGGTGGTTTTGGCTCTGCTGGCAGTTTTGCTCTTTGTTAACCCTAGCTCATTATGGCGTGTTCAGTACGTGGCTGTTTTTGCCCACCATGTTCCCGCACATTTACACCTGGATGGATCCATCACAGAGAAGCGTGCGGTAGGTTCTTCCCCAAGGATATTTGGCATGCAGACTGTCATCGAACGACCACCTCTACCACCTGAGCTACAGCCACCCCGGTGTCTCACCGGTGTGCCTGTGTCACCCGTCTGTGTTCAGGTGTTCGACCTGCGGCAGTGTCACCGGCAGATGCAGCAGCAGGCGGCAGCGGCTCAGGCAGCTGTGGAGACTCAGGCAGCCGCGGTGGTCGGTGCAATTCCCGGTCCGAACAGTGTGGGAGGAATCGCGCCTGCTGTCAGTGAGTATCACCTGCCAGTGACAGACCGGCACAGGTGTCATTTTTACAGTTTGGTCCGGAGTGCAGACGGTAACTCTTAAATCAGGGAAAAGACCGTGTTTGTGCGCGTGTGTGTGGAGCGCCTCCTGCTGGACGGAGAGTTTTTGGCCTGAAATTTAAATTGTGAGCTGATGGGCGGGGTTAGGCTGAAGCAGGAAGTGTGTGGAAGGTGAAGCGAGGCCTTCAACGAGTTCTCTCTGATTTTAAGATCTGCAGCTCGAATGTTTCACAGGAAAAGGTCCCAATACAATCAGAGCTGAGACACAGATGTAATCTGATTACCTGATTCTCCAGCACGGAGGACCAACAATGAAACATCCATAGGAAATAAATCAATTACTCAGTAAATGGATTCATATCTGTAAGTGCAAAACGATCATTAAAACTTACATTAATTAGGAGGTAACGAAAAGACGCCTGTGGGTCAGTCAGCTGGTCACCTTACTGTGATTGTCAGGCGTCTCTCCTGGAATAAAGAAGTTCAAATCCATAAAACAGGAAAAGGAGAAATCAAAAAATAAACAGGGTGACAAAAGCGAATCGATGAATCAATAAATTATAACATGAACCAGACGCAGGGCTTAAAAGACTTACCTGCAGAGTAAATCGAGTCAGATTCGTGTTGGACATTTTGCGCCTCAGTGCGACTTTCTGCTTTTTCATGCATTTAATGTTATTTCACTTCCTTTTTATGGTGGGCGGCCTCGGCCCTCGGTGTAAGCCTCGTGGTTTTAATTTCACATGTTTTAGTTTCTGTGTCTCACCTGTGCTTCCTCCCGCAGGTGTGCGCTCAGCGGCCGGTCTGGGCGTGGACGACCTCCGCAGGCTGTGCATCGTGCGGCTGAGCTTCGTCAAAGGGTGGGGGTGTGACTACCCACGGCAGAGCATCAAGGACACCCCCTGCTGGCTGGAGGTGCACCTGCACCGAGCGCTGCAGCTGCTCGACCAGGTGCTGCACATGCTGCCGCCGCGAGAGCACGCACTCTAGGACCTCCGCGCTCTGCCCACAAACGCACCACAGCAGGGGTCGGTTCACACGGGTTTCAGACAATCAGCCAATCGCAGCGTCTTGTCTCTGCTGTCATTTAAGTTTGTTTCTGTGGAAACCAGCGTGACTCGTTAAAGGGTCAGTTCACTCGAGCTTGGTGTCTGCTCGAGCATCCACGCTGGCCTGCAGTTTATTAGTTCCGCCCCCTCAACAGGTGAACTGACCCTTTAAGCCTGATGTCAGAAATCAGCTGATTACCAAAAAAACCTCGTCATCGTCATCTTCCTCCTTCTGTCGGTTTTTAGTTCCTTTAGCTAATTGTCGACCAAAGAGCCATTCCTGTTCCTTTGATGACATCATATCCTGTTTACGTTGCGTTTCTGCTCCCTCTGACGGTCACATTATTTATTCTGTCGTCTGCTTTTTTTCTCACGTTTAACTCATTTAAAGGCTTTTATACTGAAAGAGTGCAAAGCTCTGAATCATCAGCTGTCTCTTCAAATTAAAAGTCTGGTGGATAAAGATCTTCGTCTTTGTTCGTCTTTCACTCTGCAATTCAGACACTTCAGAGGAACACTCTCCTCTCCATCCACACGCAGTGATCAGGTAGGGCGCTCCCAGGAAGTCCATCCAGTCGTCAGGACGTTTCATGACTGATCCAGGTGACTTCTGCAGTCTCAGCTGACCGGATGATTAAAGAGCTGCGCTGGAAACGATCAAACGAGGAACTTCATGCACAAGAGCTGCTCCACTTAGTGCAGCAGGGAGCTGAAACAGAAAACAGGCCACACACCCCTTCAATGTACTGACGCGCACACACACAAATAATCAGATTCTTATTAGAGTTATAGAGTATTTTTAGAGTTTATGAATAAAGGCCAAGTTATGAAGACGAAACACGAGCACCACGCTTCTTCTTCTACGCCCAACATTTTTCATCAAAGCCGAGGAAATTAGGAAGCCGGTCCGTGTTGTACCTTCATGGACCTGCTACATAACAACCTGCACACATGTTTGGACCCACGGCTGAACTCTGAGTCAGTGCAAAGGGTGTGAGCTTTAGTGAAACGAGATTCTTTGTAATTCAGTCTGCTGTGGTTCAAATGTTCTTGATAGTGACAGAGCTCCTCTGGATCCTCTCTGCAGCAGCAGGAGGAAGAATTATATTTTCCACGGCTGCGTCTCGTTCATGTGACCTGCAGGAAGCAGCAGTAACAACGACATGCTCAAGTATGTCACATGATCTGTCTGTAGTCCACGTTCAGAACGCTGTGGAGACATCTCAGCTCGCTCAGCAATCCAGAAACACAGTCCAGAGTGTAGCTAAACCCATTTTCAGTTACTATGTTTGATTATTTTATTTTTAAATATTTACTTTTTTAAGACCATTGTTGGTTTTAATCTAGTTTAAACCAAACCAAAGCTGGATTTAGCTAGTAGCTAGCGAGCTGATTGGAGACCAAAACAGCCAATCAGAATTTTTGCATCCAAGTCTGTGATTGGTTGGTTTTGTGGCACATTTATGACGTTGTACAGAGAGTTGAGCGTGCAGGGAGCAGAGATGTTGAGAGCAGGTCTGCAGACGTCTGCAAGCACACAGAGCAGAGATCTGAGCGAGAGCGGCTGTTACTGTGTGTTTATGGATATTAGCAAACACTGAAACACAGAGTTTCTTTGCTCAAAGTAATTTTCTCCTCAAAATGCAACTATTTACTTGCAACAATGATTTCTGTGCACTCAGAATAGAGGCACAAAAATAAGGCCATTCGAAGGAGTAGCAGGGCCACATTAAGAACCTGTTAATGATCGTTTGGACAGTAAAGTGGATTACACTTACAGTAGTCGGCTCGGCTGCTGTCCCCTCTACAAATGGCTCGAGTAGGCGAATCAGTGAAACGAGTCAATCAGCCTGTGAAACAACACCTGTCCTCTTACTGTTCCAGGCCGTCGATGACCTCACAGCTGTAAAAATCCGCTCTTCCATGATTTCCCGTCCGAGCAGCTTCTGCAGCGTCCTCACGCTGATTACCACCCTGCATCTGTGAGCTGAAGCACAAATCACGTCCTTCCTTTAACAATTGTGAGGTACGACCTCACAGTTTGTCCTGATACAACATCTGTTATCTGCACAGATCAGTGATATTTGTTTTCTTAATGTGGCCCTGATACTCAGTCATAGCCCCCCCCCCCAAATGTGCTTTCTAAAAGAAGTCCAAACTGAGTCCCTCAAAGATGCAGAGTTCCCTGAGGTTCTTTCAGACACTGCACTGACATTTTGTCTGGTTTTGAGTGTTTTAGGTGCTTGTTTTAGGACTTCAGCTCCCAGCACACCCTCGGTCCCACTCAGCCACTCTCACACGCGTGTTCTCAGCCCATCAGGTCTCCATGCTCCTGTTTTATGCATATCTGTGTTTGCTCATGCACACCGGGTCAACACAGTGCAGTGAAGTTAACCATATTTGCATCATAATCTCATCTAAGAGCATTCAGCAGAGAGATCTGTTTTCAGAATGCTGCTCACAGTGACCTAAAACTTCAAAATTAATAGAATAGCTTCTATTGTCACTACACACATGCACAATGAGATCCAGAGCATCTGTGTTGAAGAAAACCAACCAAAATGAAAACGAAAGAACAGCAGCACACAGAGGTCGAACACTGCCCCCTGCAGGCATGCATGAGTCCCAGTCTAAATGTGACTGGAGGAGCTGAAAGAGTCCAATCTGACCAGTGCACAGGGTTGGTGGAACCAAATGGCAACAGTGCTGAAAATGCTGATGGAGAAAAAGTGTCCAACTGTTACAGAGAGTCACGCGTGAATGACCGCAGCTTGTTGGCCGCCCCTCCCTGAGCCTGGTTCTGCTGGAGGAGTCTTCCTGTTAAAAGGGAGTTTTTCCTTCCCCCTGTCACCATGTGCTTGCTCATAGGGGGTTTTCTCTGTATCATTGAAGGGTCTTTACCTTACAACATAAAGCACCTTAAGGCAACTGTTGTTCTCTGCAGACACACCTGTTACTCTGTAGACTCTCAAATTTGGACTCTTCCAAATAACTCCCACACAGGTGCTCCGAGGGTCTCTGGCTGCCTTTAGATTTGTGTCTGGAAAGACTTTGGTGGTATCTAATGTTTACCTCAACAATCAGACAGGTGGAAGGTTAAAGGTCAGGAAAATCATGGACTCTGATTATCTGATGAAAGCAAAGTCTAAACTTGAAAACGTGAAAATCTGTGTTTCCGTCACTTTGCGTCCTTACAGAAAAAATGTTCAAGTAAATTATCTGATGTATTTGTTTCATATTTTTCTACCACGTCACCTCCCATGGCTCTTAATAACAAGAAAAAGAAGAAGGAGAATAGAACCTTTAATAAATATGAAAAGATTTAGAAAATACTTTGATTAACCATGATATGGATCATGTTTATTGTTGCAATAAATACTTGAAACAACAAACAGCCTCTGTGGTCAGATCAAAGGCACAAAGCTGGATGCTATAATGTGTGTATAAGTGATTTACTGATGTAAACACTGTGGTTATTTTGCGGTAATCAATGAAAAATGATCACGGTGATCATTACAATATGGCGCCAACAAGGACAAAGAGAGGGCGCCTGTAAAGTTTAAACGTTTCATGTTCACCCTCTCATTGGTAACACTAAAGTGACGTAATTGCATTTACAGCCACTCGCAGACGAGGTCTCTGCATACTAAGATGCTAGGGCGGGGCTTAGTGAGTTGATCGTGTTTGGACCAATAGCAGGTTAAGCTTCTTAAAAGTATGGATATTCATTAGATTGGGGCGTGGTCTAACAGTGGCGGACCGGCAACAGCGAACATGGAGGTTTAGTTGTCGCCTTGTGTCCGTTGGAGAAGGAGGGTCTCACTGACGCGCATTTTATTTTCACTTTTCCTTTGTTATACTTTGTTTTTTCGCATTCTGTTCGGGCTTCGACATGGAGATGAAGAAGAGGATTAGTCTGGAGCTGAGGAACAGAAATCCAGCCGAGGCAAGTAACTACATCACTTTAATTTATTTATTTCCTGAAGAAACTGGTGAAGGATGCCGTGTGAAGCTATGACGATGCTGATAACATTCGGCGTGGGCGGCCGTCGACTTTTCCCAACCCGCGGACTGATCTTTTGTCGGTGTTTTTGAACGAATAGACGCGACATGTTTGTGGCTCCAACATGGAGGAAACTCCGCTTGGTCCTGGAGGAATCCGCCGCGTGCAGGCTCGCTCCCTCTCCCGCGCTCACTTCTCGCGGGGCAGCCTCGCGCGAGCCTCCCACAGCTAGCACACGGGCTAACAGGCTAACCTGCCGAGTGCCAAGCCCGCATAACAGAACCGCGGCCGGGTGAGCGCGCCGAGAGCCGCCGCAGGTGCTCGGCGGTATCGAGAAAATGCAGTCGCGGACTGTGGCTGGGCTCCGCTGCATTTGTTTGAACGCCCCGGGGCGACCGCTCGGCCAGGCCGGCTCCCATTTTAACCTTCACCGTTAGAGAGTTGCTGATCTGCGATGGTCGTGCTGTGATGGCGTTTGCAGCCGGACTCCATTCTCATTTCAGCGTTTAAGTGCACATAGTTCTAGGTCAAGTCATTTTTTTCTACCATAACATCATTAAAGGGTCTCCACAGTTTCTTTGTCGGCACGGGTCAGCTCAACACAGGCGCTGTCTAAAATCGATACTTTGTTCACGTTAAATTGGAGTTTTAACAGTTGTTGTTCAGTCTGCTGTTCCCGCCCTCCTCGCTGTGTTTTCAGGCGCACGAGTGCCGCGCGCTTAAATCTTACAAAAATTGCACGAGGTTCGGTGGGAGGCGGATTTAAACGACGGAGAGGGTTTTTAAAAAGTTTCTCACACGGTCGCACGCACACCACTGTTACGATCACCGGTGGGAGAGCACACCTCACCCACCGGTGATCGTAACAGTGAAGCTGAGCGCCGGTTTTCTGGTCACGTAATAACCGCTATATGGATGAGATCCAGCGGGAGAGGGGGAGTGCTGGCCCGGGCGAAGAGCTCTGACCGAAACGGAAGGAAAGTGACCCTCGTTTAGTTTTGTGAAACGTCTGAAACCCGGGTTTACTAGATGCCCCCCCTCCGCGAATTGCTGGGCATATACAGCGTTACACCACGTGGTTATTCATGTACCTGAGAACGGCCATACCTGCTTACCCCCCCCAGCCTGCTGGATCTGTGTCGTTGTTGTCGTTGTCATCGAAACATATAAATCATGATGACCCGCGCATGCTCAAAACCAGGGCTGGTGAAGCTTTACGTGTGTTCTTTGATATTTTTATTTCACCTTTGTACAGGTAAATCTCACTGAGATATCTATATCATGGTTAAAGCACTTCTGGATGGATGCAAACTGCATTTTGTTGCCTTGTACCTGTGACATGTGCAATGACGATAAAGTTGAATTCTATTCTATTCTACAGGGTGGGCCATTTCTATGGATACACCGTAATAACATGGGAATGGTTGGTGATGTTAAAGTCCTGTTTGTGGCACATTAGTATATGTGAGGGGGCAAACTCCTCAAGATGGGTGGTGACCATGGTGGCCATTTAGAAGTCGGCCATCTTGCATACAACTTTTGTTTTTCCAATAGGAAGAGGGTCATGTGACACATCAAACTTATTGGTAATGTCACAAGAAAAACAATGGTGTGCTTGGTTTCAATGTAACTTTATTCTTTCACGAGTTATTTACAAGTTTCTGACCAAATGTGTTCAATGTGCTGCCCATTGTGTTGGATTGTCAATGCAACCCTCTTCTCCCACTCTTCACACACTGATAGCAACACCGCAGGAGAAATGCCAGCACAGGCATCCAGTATCCGTAGTTTCAGGTGCTGCACATCTCGTATCTTCACACCATAGACAATTGCCTTCAGATGATCCCAAAAATAAAAGTCTAAGGGGGTCAGATCGGGAGACCTTGGGGGCCATTCAACTGGCCCACGACGACCAATCCCCTTTCCAGGAAACTGTTGATCTAGGAATGCTCGGACCTGGCACCCATAATGTGGTGGTGCACCATCTTGCTGGAAAAACTCAGGGAACGTGCCAGCTTCAGTGCATAAAGAGGGAAACACATCATCATGTAGCAATTTCAAATATCCAGTGGCCTTGAGGTTTCCATTGATGAAGAATGGACCCACTATCGTTGTACCGATAGTGGGTCCATTAGTTGTACCGACTGATGCCACTCTCCAGTGACATGCGGCGAGTGCTACGCTGTGGGCTCTTGCTGAATGAAGCTAGGACAGCCACTGATGTTTCTTCATTAGTGACAGTTTTCTTGCGTCCACATTTTGGCAAATCCAACACTGAACCAGTTTCACGAAACTTATTTATCAGTTTGCTAACTGTAGCATGGGAGATGGGTGGTGTCGTAGGGTGTCTTGCATTGAAATCTGCTTCAATGACCTGGTTACTGCGTTTACCAGATATCATATTTCGATCCGCTCCTCACGTGTTAACCTCTTCGACATGTCAATGGCTGTGAACAAAGAGAAACTTGTAAATAACTCATGAAAGAATAAAGTTACGTTGAAACCAAGCACACTATTGTTTTTCTTGTGACATTACCAATAAGTTTGATGTGTCACATGACCCTCTTCCTATTGGAAAAACAAAAGTTGTATCCAAGATGGCCGACTTCTAAATGGCCACCATGGTCACCGCCCATCTTGAGGAGTTCGCCCCTCACATATACTAATGTGCCACAAACAGGACTTTAATATCACCAACCATTCCCATGTTATTACGCTGTATCCATAGAAACGGCCCACCCTGTATTCTATATGAGGTCTCGTTTTCAAGCGAGTCCCAGAGTTACAGGTGTGTATGAAGTTACACACCTGTAACTGGGCAGGGAGATGTGTGAGTGTGTAATAGCGGCGGGCTACAGTAATTTTTAAATGCTGATGCGTCGGAAGATCGTTTATTTAACACATTATATTTTACGGTCACAGACTGCAGTCTGTTTGTACGCCACCAGGTGGCAACAGGTGAGTGTGAGGCATGCAAGCTGAGAGTTTGAATAAACCTGTGATGTATAATGTGGTGTAAATTTTACTCTCTTTGTCATGTGATGCGGTGGCGCTCAGGTGGCCGAGCTGGTGGTGGATAACTGTCGCTCCAGCGACGGTGAGGTGGAAGGACTCACGGACGATTACACGGGGCTGGAGATCCTCAGCATGGTGAACGTCGGCCTCAGCTCGCTCGCCAAACTGCCCTCACTGCCCAAACTACGCAAGGTCAGTTCACCCGCAGGTGTGACACCTGAACACAGCGCAGTCAGGCGTGTGTGCAGTGATGAACGTCACATGTGACCTCTGATTGGATGTACCTTCTGAATGTTTCTTATGACCTTTGACCCCAGCACTGACCCTCACACTGAGAAGATGAACGATATTCCACTTTTATACATTAGCTTGTTTCTGCCACAGGAAAGCGTATTGTGAGATACCTAATTTAGAGATATGGCGCCCACACACATCCATCTGCATCCGGATAATAAGGAAATCCACGGAGCTGGATCCTGGTTAGCAGTACTAACTTTGATTTCAACTCAGAGTTTGGAGTTATGTTTGACTTTGTTTGTTTTTCAGTGGTGGAAACAAAGTTTCATACTTTTGGAGATGAATGAAAGTATTTGAAGTACTGCTGCACTCTGTACTACTGCAGTACTTCTACTGAGTCGATAGATGAGGAAAGATCTGGCAGGAATGAGCTGAGTAGTTGTTGCTGTCTGTGTGCTGCTTCCTCCTCTCAGTGCACCTGATGATGCGTTTCCTGTGTTTCAGTTGGAGGTGAGCGATAACACCATCTCGGGGGGTCTGGACGCGCTGGCGGAGAAATGTCCCAGCCTGACTTACCTGAACCTGAGCGGGAACAAGATCAAGGATCTGAGCACCATCGAGCCTCTGGTACGTCCATTCATTAAGCTCGTTAGGCCGATCGCTAACGAAGCACCTGAACCTGTCGACTGGAGACCCTGAAACGACCCTGAAGCGTAGCAGCAGATTAAAGTCGGGAGTCTGGCGTTCATGTTTTTGAGGGTTCCTCTGCTTTGTTCTTGTACTGCAGCAAAACCTGAAGAACCTGAAGAGCCTGGACCTGTACAGCTGTGAGGTCTCGGCGCTGGACGACTACAGAGAGGGCGTCTTCGAGCTGCTGCCTCAGCTCACTTACCTGGACGGGTTTGACGAGGAAGACAACGAGGTGCCCGACTCCGAGGCCGAGAACGGTGAGCCGCTAACGGAGTCTCTCTGACCCGACCGAGGGGCGGGGTCTGTTTGTTTTTCATGTGCACGCTTCGTTAAGCCGTAAATGTTTCCGTCCACTGAGCGCGTGCAGATCTGCTGGTCGCCTTCAGCCGACTGATTCGGATTAAGGACAGGAAGTGGTCCACGGGGAGGACGAACGTCCTGTTTCTGATGTTAGGATGTTTTGTTCCAGATGAGGATGATGAAGCCGGCCCGCCGGGAGATGACGACGATGAAGACGACGATGAGGATGAGGAAGGCTCTGAGGGAGACGAGGTCGGTCTGTCGTACCTGATGAAGGAGGGAATCCAGGTGAGAGGTCATGAGGTAAACAGAGCAGGGGAGGAGGAGCCTGCCACGGCGTGCTCACAGTTTAACGTGTTTTTAACATATTTTAAGGATGAAGAGGACGATGGAGACTACGTCGAGGAGGACGAAGAGGACGAGGAGGAAGAAGAGGATGGAGGTTTGTTGGGTTGTTGTTTTTTCACAGCCCCTGTGGCGGTCGTCACGGTGACTTCACCGTCGATGTCTGTGTTACAGTGACGATGACATCATGGCGTTTAAACTGCACGCTTAGGCCACGTTTCCCTGGTGACAGCTTTTACATGTGCGTGGTCACCCGATGATGTTGCGCTGTCATGTGATTGATGTGTTCGATGAAACCCGCTCAGTGCAGCGCCACCTAGTGGTAAAAATGCTGTGAAGGAATCGTAGTTCCTCCTGTCAGGGTTGCTTCCTCAGTGTCACCGTGTTATTGATCACTGATTACTGATTATTGATTATTGATCAGGTGATTGATGGCTGCTCTGATTTCCTCAGATGAGGACGGCGCCGCTGTTCAGGGCGAGAAGAGGAAGAGAGACGCCGATGATGAAGGTGAAGATGACGACGACGAGTAGTCCAACCACCTTCGTACGCTATATCGTCTGACCCCCCCCC